TTTTCCACCTGCAGTGTTGGAGTCCTGCCCTTGAGAGAACAGCTGAATTATCTGTAACGTTTCAATCAAATTATTTAAGCCTGTGTCTTATAGTTCACAGGCTAATTTCTGTATGGTTTTCATCTAGTTAATGTAATTGAAAGCCAAATAATGAAGTCAAATAAGTTAGATGTAGAGTTGTCCTTTTGCTGTTAGTATCAAATGAGAAGAACAAATTGCTTGCTTCACACCTGGAGGATCCGGTTTTGCCTGTTAGCTGCCTATTCTTTAGATTAAAGGAAGATCGTTTTCATTGGAGCTAGCCGGTAACAGGAAGTCCTTGTTAAACTGCCTACATAGAGCATTTGGCACAGGCTCTGTAATTTTGATCTTGTATTATGCATAAAAGATATTACGAAAGAGGTGGTTTGTCTTTAAATAGATGTTGCTTTGCTTTCTTTAGGTATTAAAACTTGCTAAATATTACAGAATTTGGAATAAATAGGAATGGAAACAAGCTTGGGGTGAAGACTTTTTGTTCCATTTACTCTAAGATGATTGAATTCTGCTTTATTTTAGGAAATCCCAAGGGCTTAACTCATGAAATCATTGAATTTCAGAACTATACCAGCCAGAAAAGAGCTCATATTTAAACCTTCCACTTCACTCTTCTTTTTACTTATACTTGCTATTTTCACTTTAAAATAGTTTCAGCGTAGAAAACCTAAAGGTGTGCAGCAATATGTGATACTGTTTATAATATACAGTACAACAATTCAAAATTAATTTTCACTGGAGTGAAATACTTACAGGAAGTATTAGAAATGAAATTTCTCTCACCTTACTGAATTTTCTTACTCTCCCTTTTTTTGCTGCCTGAGTTGTTATGATTTGAGGGTAAGAGGAGGGAAATTGCTATATCCTTGGATTGTTTCCAAAATAAGAAATAACTCATCACACACTTACTCTTCACAGCACTCTTTGTGACAACAAATCACTGGAAACAACACAAAGGCCCTTCCATGTAGGCCTGGCTGAATAAATGGAACATCTGTATAATGACTGTTTTATTCATTAATAAAGAATATAGTAATAAAAAAGATTTCTTTATACTACAGGGTAATTGTAGAATTTACAATTAAAAAAAGCATGCTAGTGCACAAAAGTGTATATAGTGTAGTAGTTTTTGAGGCAAAAAGGAAAGGTGGATATACACACAAATACTCCTCCCCGCCACCAATCAATAATGGTGAATTTCCATAGTCTCCAAATTGTGTACTTTAAAATACCATTTCCCCCATATATATGTTTATATGTTCAAAAAGAAGCAATGGGAGGATAAGCTAAAAACTAATGAAAATAGTTACCTAGATGAGAATGGAAGGAATAGAGAGAGGGACAGGGACAGAGATGGAAAATAGTTCTGATTGTACCTTGTTTTTACAGTTTTGAATTTGGAACCATATAAACGTTTTAAAAATTAAATCTTAAAATAATAAAACTGTATGTAAAAAGCAAAAGAAGCCTGAAACAAATGAACGTGGCTACATATCTAGATGTTGGCATAGCCACACAGAGAAGCATTATTCCAAGTAATTTTAAAAACCAGTATTTTGACTCATGCATCTTTTGTGGGATATATGTTAGAGACAAAAATAACCACAATGAGATCTTAACCTGCATTTGGAAGTATTTTTAGTAATAATATTGGTATTGTGTTGAAACTCTTTATACTGTATGGTAAATTGTTAATGTCGGTGTGATTACAAACTGAAGTTTTTAAGTATAAGAAAAAAGAACTACAGGGGCACCTGGGTGGCTCAGTCAGCTAAGCGTCTGACTTCGGCTCAGGTCATGATCTCGTGGTCCGTGAGTTCGAGCCCCGCATCAGGCTCTGTGCTGACAGCTCAGAGCCTGGAGCCTGTTTCAGATTCTGTGTCTCCCTCTCTCTCTGACCCTTCCCCATTCATGCTCTGTCTCTCTCTGTCTCAAAAGTAAATAAACGTTAAAAAAATTGAAAAAAAAAGAAAACATCTTTCCTTAAAAAAAAAAGAAAAAAAAAGAAAAAAGAACCACAAATGAAGCTAACTAAAAACTAATATTTGATTTAAAATGGAAAAATCACTATGAGCTCATGATTTAATTTTTTTCTAAACCAATTTTTCCTAGCTCTATCCACTGAAAGGGTCTAGAAGCAATGGCTAGTCAATAGCAGTAAATGCCCATAGTCCCCAGATTTTGGTCTTTAAAATACCAGTTCCTTCCTTACTGAAAGGAATCAGGGCACCTTAGAGAAACTGATGATTTCAGGTCTGGGACATTGTTTCTTTTCTTTTCTTTTCTTTTCTTTCTTTCTTTCTTTCTTTCTTTCTTTCTTTCTTTCTTTCTTTCTTTCTTTCAAGTTTATTCATTTTTGACAGAGAGAGAGAGAGACAGAGCATGAGCAGGAGAGGGGCAGAGAGAGAGGGAGACAGAATCCGAAGCAGGCTCCAGGCTCTGAGCTGTCAGCACAGAGCCTGACGTGGGGCTTGAACTCATGAACTGTCAGATCATGACCTGAGCTGAAGTTGGCCACTTAACTGACTGAGCCACCCAGGCGCCCCTGGGATATAGTTTCTTATGGGAAAGCAAAGAAGCTATCAAAGATTACTGGAGTTGTGCCAAAAGAACACAGGAGCTAGTTCAAAGAGGACTCCCAGTGACCAAAAATCTGTAACTTTGAGCCTCAAAAAAGAACACTGACTAAAACACATTATCATATACATGTGTGTTTGAGGATATTTAAGTAATCTCTACCCCCAACATGTAGGCTCAAACTCCGGACCCTGAGATCAAGAGTCACATGCTCTTCTTCTGACTGAGCCAGCCAGGCACCTCTAAAATCCATGAGTTCATAATGATATCTATCCCTCCACAAACCAAAGAAAGCAACTTGATTACCTTGGGAGGTTGATAAGGCACCAATTCACTCTTAGGAAAACTAGGAAATGAAGCAAAGGATCAAACATTTATGTTGACTTTTGTCTGAATTGTATTTAAGCATTATCGAGTAGTTGATGAAAGTTTATTCTTTAGACAAAACATAGCTAGTAAACTCAGCAGGAATATAGAACTAGAAACATCATGATTTGATAAGCTCTTGTAAAATAATGAAATTAAGCAAAGGTCATTATGCCTGTTAAAATCATTAGATGAAAGAAAGGTTAGTCGGGAACTTTATTTTGGACGAATCAAGCTGACTCTAGACGAATCCACTGATCTATTATAATATCACTAAAGCTTGTATAACTAGATGTAATATTCCTTCTAAGTATCATATTAGCACTATCTATGCAATATGCTTGTCATAATTTCAACCAGTACATCTAACTACAGATGTCGCATCTACCGATGTGTATCTAATTACAGATACAGGAAATGCACGTTAAAATGACTTCATGAGGAGGGTATCAGCTGAATCGTACTAAACACAGGAAATTCTATAGAAATAGGGCTTGTTTTGTTTTACAAATAGATGTCATAGGAGGAAAAGAGGTGGTGGTGGTAATGTTGCAGGGGTGGGTGTGTTGGGACTGCAGATGATATTGATTCAGAAAGATGTAAACGAATACACTGTAATGTGTATCTTGTTTGGATCTGAATTTGGACATAACATAAAAAATATCAAGGAATGTTAATTTTTTTTTAGGCATGATAGTGTATTATGGTAATGTTTTTTAATTTTTAATTTGCTGGGTGAAGTAACTTGGCAGGGCAAGTAAAAGATAGTAGGTGAGCAAGAATGGCATAATGTTGATAATTTTTAAAGATAGGTGATAAGGGTTCATTAGATTTATTCTATATATTTGTTAAATAACATACTTGGCTCTGAAATGTCTGTCAAACCCTGACCTTGACAGCGTTTTATTAAACTTTTGTCCTCTGCCATCTGATAGGCAAACGGTGTTATTTTGTAGTAATTCCTATTTTTTAATAATTTATTTTAGTTTTTCATTTTGTTTTTCCTCAATATGCTCCTGATTGTCATGTTTTTTATGCCCAATACTATGCCAAATAAATTAAAAGTGGCCCCGGGGTGCCTGGGTGGCTCAGTCGGTTGAGCATCCGACTTCTGCTCAAGTCATGATCTCGTGGTTCATGGATTCATGCCCCCCCACCGGGCTCTGTGCTGACAGCTCAGAGCCTGGAGCCTGCTTTGGATTCTCTCTGCCTCTCCCCCACTCGTGCTGTCTCTCTCTCTCTCTCTCTCTCTCTCTCTCTCAAAAATAAAAATAAAACATTTAAAAAGTGGCCCCACCTCTCCAATAGGTTGCACATTTATGTGGACATATTCACACACCGAAAATATAGATGAACTCCAATAGTACAGGCTCAGAATGAATGTCTGGGTGTTTGAAAACATGATACAGTTTGTATTTTAAGAAAATAAGGACATGGGGTGCCTGGGTGGCTCAGGCGGTTGAGCGTCTGACTTTGGCTCAGGTCGTGATCTCGTGGTCCATGAGTTCGAGCCCCACGTCGGGCTCTGTGTTGACACCTCAGAGCCTGGAGCCTGTTTCAGATTCTGTGTCTCCCCCTCTCTCTGACCATCCCCTGTTCATACTCTGTCTCTCTCTGTCTCAAAAATAAATAAACATTAAAATAAAAAAATTAAAAAAAAAGATATGGACATAATTAATGTGAAAGCTGGAACTGATTGCTGAGGGCTGTGGAAACTAGCAGTCCACTTCTTTTTCTCTTTATAGCTTGTTTTGTTGTTGGCCTATTGACCTATTGCTTATTTTCTTGACACTTTTGATTACTTGATTTCCTTTTATATAGGCCAAATCTTACAAACTTATTTTAGCAGTAATAAATAAAGTGAAAATGATAACATAGATACTACAATACTCTCTGAAACCAGTATGTTTTGTAATCAGTAGGCTTAAATCTTTAGACTAAGAAGAACATGATCAAAATAATTCTAAGTGACTTTATGCTTATATATTTGCTATAAAACTACTTCATTTATGTCTCTCTAGGTTGGCAAATAAACAAGACAAGGAAGGGGCTTTAGGAGAAGCTGATGTGATTGAATGCCTATCTCTGGAAAAATTGGTCAATGAGCACAAGTGCCTATGTCAAATAGTAAGTTTTTGGTGATTTTTTGCCCTATGAGATATGTTTTTGTAGAGGTGATAGGCAATTAGGTGGTAGGCAGCTAACAAGATAATTTATTAGTGTTTAAAAAAATTTTTTTTAACCCAGGAAATCACATTCTCCCTGTTCTGTTGATAGTATTTAATACTATAACATTTGTTTTTCTGTTTGGTTGTTGCTTCCATAAACTATCTTTCATGATCTCCAAGACTTTACATTTGCTTTTTGTTTAAGATATTGCTGATAGGAACTTTAAGTTACACAAACATGTCATGCTATAAATTTTGTAGAGGGGCGCCTGGGTGGCTCAGTCAGTTAAGTGTCTGACTTCAGCTCAGGTTGTGATCTCACAGTTTGTTGAGTTTGAGCCCACATCGGGCTCTGCTATCAGCTCAGAGCCTATTTCAGATCCTCTGTCCCCCTCTCTCTGCCTGTCCCTCACTTGCTCATAGTCTCTCTTTCCCCCCTGCCTCAAAAATAAGTTAAAACAACAACAACAACAAAAAATTGTAGCATGCTCTACTATAAATACAAAATGTAAGTGTAGGAGAGGTTATCAGGAGTTTGGAAGATTTTATCAGGAGAGTTATCCTACAATCTTAAGAGGTGGACAGAAGATTTAGTCACTCCTTCTGGCTTCAGAAGATGGCCATTAGGGTGTCAATCTTAAAAGATGTTCAATGCTATAAATTCCCTGGTATAAGGAATTAAAACTTTCTGCTGTTTTTAATAAGTAGGGGCATTTTTCTTCTGGCAGTGCAGTTTTGTCTTCCAATGAGTTTGTTTAAAATTATAATTGGCACTGCCGACTTCTTGTAATGTCTTTCACAGCTTACAGATATTATCCACAAAATATATCAGATTATATGTACTAATGTTTAGTAATCATTGCAAAGGTGTGTTTTATAAGTTAAATAAACAGACGCTTCATGTAATTAATTAATGGATTAGTTTTGATTTGCCAGTAATTACACTTAATAGTTTATAAACATTTTTGTGGAGAACTCTTAGTTTTAATCTTTAAGTCAAATAAATTTCGGTTTCTCAGGAACCTTGTTCAGCAGTCTTGGGCTACGGAAAGAAAATTGACAAGTCCATTAAAAAAGGCCTTTACTGGCTCCTACATATCATTGCAAGAGACTTTGATGCTCTAAATGAACGCATCCAAAGAGACACAACAGAACAGCGTGCTCTTGAAGAACAAGAGAAACGAGAGAGGGCTGAACGAGTGCGAAAATTACGAGAAGAAAGGTAAGTAGATGAATTTTGTACCACAGTGCATTTGAAAAGTCCAGAACCCCACAGTTTTATGAATAATTTTATAGTTTTGTCTATTCAGTTTCTCCTTGCTATATGAAGGAAGATACTAGGTAAATATTTCATTTCTGTGGATCTTTCTCTACACAAGTTTGAGTGAGAGGGTACTAATTTTCTTAGTGGTGTTATAGTAATTAAATTTATTCCGTAGGTATTTATTAATTCCCAGAATTTGAAGATTTTTCTCTCTTATTTCTTATGGGTACCATTAGTGTAGCGGTTCTCAATTCTTGGGGTGATTTTGTTTCTCAGAGGACATTTAGCAATGTCTGGAGACATTTTTACTTGTCACGGCTGGGAGTAGGTAGAGTGCTTGCTACTGGGATCTAATGGGTAGAGGCCAGGGATGCTGCTAAATATCTTGTGATACACAGGACCATCTCTGATAACAAAGAATTATTGGGCTCAATATGTCAATAGATTAAGAAAGCCTTTCTGAGGCACCTGGATGGCTCAGTCGGTTAAGCGTCTGACTTTGGCTCAGGTCATGATCTATTGGTTTGTGAGTTCGAGCCCCATGTCGGGCTCTGTGCTGACAGCTTGGAGCCTGGAGCCTGCTTCAGATTCTGTGTCTCCCTTTCTCTCTGCCCCTCCCCTGCCCGTGCTCTCTCTCTCTCTCTCTCTCTCTCTCTCAAAAATGAGTAAACATTAAAAAAATGAAAAAGAAAGGAAGAAAGCAAGCAAGCAAGCCTTCTTTAGTCTAAGCAAAAATAGAAGGTAAGCTGCCAGTGGATCTATCAACTAAAGTAAAATCTGATCTTCAGCACTAGTTTTGTCAGAAAGTAGATTAAATTACAGTGTCTTGCTGCTGGTGGGAATGCAAACTGGTGCAGCCACTCTGGAAAACAGTATGGAGGTTCCTCAAAAATTAAAAATAGAACTACCCTACGACCCAGCAATTGCACTAGTAGGCATTTATCCAAGGGATACAGGTGTGCTGTTTCGAAGGGGCACATGTACCCCAATGTTTATAGCAACACTATTGACAATGGCCAAAGTATGGAAGGAGCCCAAATGTCCATTGATGGATGAATGGATAAAGAAGATGTGGTGTGTATATATATACAATGGAGTATTACTCAGCAATCAAAAAGAATGAAATCTTCCCATTTGCAACTACATGGATGGAACTGGAGGGTATTATGCTAAGCGAAATTAGAGAAAGACAAATATGATGACTTCACTCACATGAGGACTTTAAGGTACAAAACAGATGAACATAAGGGAAGGGAAGCAAAAATAATATAAAAACAGGGAGGAGGACAAACCATAACAGACTCTTACATATGGAGAACAAACAGAGGGTTACTGGAGGGGTTGTGGGAGGGGATTGAGCTAAATGGGTAAGGGGGATTAAGGAATCTACTTCTGAAATCATTGTTGCATTATATGCTAACTAACTGGATGTAAAGTAAAAAAAAATTGCAATGTCTCGGTATTTTAAAAGATGTTTTAAAAATTATTTTTAAAATACGTTGCTTGAGAGCAAACTCTTAAATGGAATTTAGCAAACTCTGAATTAAAAAAAAAAGTGATTATATAACTTCTACCATGAAATCATTTATAATAATCTTAATGCTGGAAGAAAGTACTCAGATTTGATTAGAAGTTGAGTTTAGTACTTAATCCCATGATTCTTCTTTCTTTCTTCACTGGATTGTTATATGGTAGAGGAGGGGGAAAATGAAGATTTTTCAGTGAGTTCCTGTAAGATATAAAGTTATCTTCCATATACCTAAATAATATTGGCTTTCTATGTACTTTAACATAGCTGTAGTCTGATAGGCAAGAACTCACTAAGTGCTCTTGGTGATGCCTTTGTGAGATGCTTCCTTACACTGTTGAAGAAACCCTCTGATTACTGGTATCTGTCATTTAATTCAGAGATAGGACCTAAAGGAAAGAAATATTTCTAGAGACATACTCTCCATCTCCAAGTACTCAAGAATATGAGCAGATCATTCATCTAGGTCTCTCTTGATACCAGTGTGAGGTTTTATTTTGGTAAATGTGAGAGTCTTTGGGTTTTTTCTCCTAGTGTATCATATTTTAGTGATATAAAGCTTGGTACAACCAATCATTCATGGAAGTATACCTTTTATGTATTTATAAAAATAAAATACATGACCACACGTTTCTGAAGACTCTTTTGTTTTTCTTCCACTAAGAAAACAAACAATGAAAAAAATTTAGTTGGAAAGAAGTCGTCTAATGTTAGTCACTTTTTTTCAAGTTTTTACTTTTTCCATAAAGATATTCTAGATGATGTTAGGACATGTTGTGGCTTTTGTGATACCCATTCTCCTTTCCTCCTTTTTTCCTAGCCACACCACTTCTGGTCTGAGGCCTCTCCTGTTGAGCAGAGAGACTTTGGAATTAAAAGTGGCATTTAGAGAAGAGTTATTAAAAAAAAACGAAAAAACTTTTTACTTAATTAAAGGTTCAGATATTTTTGAAAAATAGTAAAACATGCTGTTGTTGATATCTGAAAATAATATGTCAGTGCCAGAAACCTGAAATTGCTTACTAATAAATGAATAACATTACCATCCTGTAGGTATATTCATTTACAGAGTACTTTCACATACAGAGTAGTTTGCACAACCTTATGAAGTACATATTTTTATAAACATTTATGGGAAAGCTGAGGCTTAAAGATCTAGATATAAGTCCAAAGTCACAGAGGTAATAAATTGCAAATCTCTAACTCTTGGCTTCCTAGGTTTAGAATGAAAGGATATATATTTCCAAAATAGAGCATAATAAATGTCATAGTAATGAGCATTCATATTACCATACTTACAGTGTAGTTGTAGATCTACAATACTTATTCTTCTGTCTTCAGCTACTTGTTTATTTTTTTCACTCCAACAAATCTATTGAGTAATATCTCTGTCTTGAATTCAGCATAAGAAACTGACAATACAGAGATGAATCAGATCTGGTCCCTGCTCGTAATACATGCAGTAGTACAGTAGAGGAGCCAGAATTGTATGGAAACATTAGTTAAAATATTCAGTGACTTTGTTGTTTTATAGAGACTTGGAAAGACATATCTATGTTACCAGGGAAAAACCAGCTAGTTGGACATCAAGAAGCCCCAGGGATTGGCATCAACTTGGTAAAACAGACACAACACAGTTCTTATATAACTGGCCAGGATTTTTAGTCTTGACAACTCATTAAAAAATGGCGGGGGGAGGGGGGGCAAATTTCTGCCAAGGAAGTCCTCTACAGAGGGACCCTAGTATATTAATTTATAATTAAAAGCAGAGCTTGGTGGTTGCCAAAGGGGAGGGGGTTGGGGGTGGAGCAAAATGAGTGAAGGAAAGTGGGAGGTACAGACTTCCAGTTACCAGAATGAGTAAGTGTCAGGGATGAAAGGTACAGCAAAGGGAACATATTAGGTATTATAATAGAGTTGTATGCCGACAGATGGTGACCACACTTATGGTGAACATCCAGCTACTCATTTTAAAAAGTAACTTATTATTCTTCATGTATGGGGCAATATTAACTATGAATCACAGAGATAGTGTATGTTTCAGTAGTAACTCATGTGGAAATACTTAATCTGAGTGATATAGAGCAACTTAGTTTTATAGTTTCTTTACTTCTTTGCAGCAACAGTTGTTATCTAGTCCATATGTGATATACAGTTTGACACAGCCCTGAAGAAGGCTGTTAACAAGAGGACTTATTTGTTAACATCAATGAAGAGGACCGCATTTGTTTGGGAGAGTAATTAACAAATCTGTGAATATAAACCTTTGGCACATAGAAAATTAATTAGCAACTATCACTGACATTAAGGAGTCAGTCATAGGGAATGTTATTTTTGTCAACATTTCCTTTTTTTTTTTTTAATTCAAATGATTAACAGTGGAATATTACTCAGCCATAAAAAAGAACAAGATCTTACATTTGCAACAACATGGATGGACCTGGAGGGTATTCTGCTAAGTGAAATAAGTGAAAGACAGATACTGTGTTTCCATTTACATGTGGAATCTAAAAAGCAAATGAAAAACAAAGTGAAACAGACCCAGAAGCACAGAGAACAAACTGGTGGTTGCCAAGGGAAGGCGGGGGGGGGGGGGGGGGGGGGCACAGGCAAAATGGGTAAAGGGGAGTGGGAGGTACAGGCTTCCAGTTATGGAATGAATAACTGATGGAGATGAAAGGTACAGCAGAGAATATTATAATAGTGTTACATGGTGACAGTGGCTACCCTTGTGAGCATAGCATAATGTATAGGCTTGTCACATCACTATGTTGTACACCTGAAGCTAATGTAATATTGTGGGTCAACTATACTTGAAATAAAAAGTTCCAATTATTACACGTGGCTAGGGGCCTATTACCAGAAGTAAGGATTTCTGAAAATCTCCTAGTAATTGAAAGCCATGTCCAGATGTTTAACTTACTAAATTTTATAGAGTTAAGCCGATTACAAATGTTCTTACACATGGTTCAGCGTTTTCTCATAAGGAATTCCAAAACTTTTCCCTCAAACAATAGAGAACAAAGAGAACGAGAGCAGGCGGAACTCAATGGAACCAGCAGCCTGGCTGAGTTGGACTCCGAACCAATTATTGTTAATCCTTTCCAGCCAATCGCATCTGTCATCCTTGAGGTACGGATGGTGGCAAATGTGATTTTTTCTATCTTAAGTTATAAAGTTAGAAGTTGAGAAAGGAGGTGGGGAGAAGTGTTTCACCAGAGATTATTCGTAAAAGAAATTAAATGGGAGAGATGGATTAAAGGCTTACTGCTTTTTTTTTCCTCGTAAAGTTTACTTTTTGATCTGATATAAAAAAGGAGAGATGACTCGTGAATTAACCGAGAATGAAAACGAAGATTGAATGTGGCAACTGCCATAATTACTGTCCTGCTAAATCTATTTTTTCTTTTTTGTCGTTTATTTCATAGGATAGTGCTGTATTTACTCTTTTTTACACTTTGTCCCTGTATTGCTGTTACTATCTCTTTAAAGTAATATTTGGATGCCTGTGATGCATTTTAGAGTATGTAAATGATTTTTTAATTACTTTCCCAGAATACTTAAGAATGTTGGAAACTATAAGTTCTCCTATATATGAGTATCATTTATTTTAATTTTGATTGTCAGAAATTTTACCAAAATTAACTTGTAGATTTTAATCATGAAGAAGGAGCTGTGTATGTGTGTCTGTATGTCTCTATCTTCGTTTTCATTTCTCCACTGGGTGTCCAGAGTTTGCGCTGGCCCTGCTTCAGTCACCATCCGCAGCCATGCCTCCTTTGAGGCAGGGCTTTCTAAATCTGCTCTCCATTCACTCAGAGCTTAATGTGGCAGCTGGCTCGCTGGTCCCACCTGTATGTTCTCCATTCCTCTTCCCCTGTCACTGCCTCCTTCCACACAGGTCCTCATCTGGAAAGGTGGATGATTGTTTCTTCCTTGGGGCTGCTGCTGAGGAGGGAGGCAGCTCCACAGGTAAGAAGATGATTGGATAGTTTTGGTATTGCTTTATTTTGCAGAATAATTGGTAATAGGAGATATTTTGTCTTGGGTTGCTTCGATACCAGAAGGTTAATTGTATTTAATCTTTTTATTAACCCCGCCACATTTACCTTCAGTATGTGCTTTTCTAAGTACATTAAAGCTGTCTTAATAACGTGACCTATTGATTTATCTCTATCCTATTAAATACCATGTTTTCCAAGTTTTGTTGTATGTTCTTTAAAAAATATTGGTAGACAAGGAAACCAAGTTTGACTTTGCACTTTGAAGCATTAATTTACTCTATATTTGTAATAAAGTTCACCTTGTGGATAATGACCAATTATTTTATAGCACCACAGTTGTAAATTACTTAGAAGGCCTTAGTCCTTCTATCACCAGTGTATTTTTCACAATATAAAGATGTGAGCAATACGGTGTGCAGCATAGCATACCTTATATGCTGAAGCAAAGTCCCTGAACTAATTAGTGGCATGTGGAAAGTTACTATGCTTTTAAACTGTGCTAATTTTAAGAAAATAATCAGTAAAGAAATGAAGTAAATGAAAACAAATGACCTGAAGTCTTCTTTTTACTGAGCAAGTATTTTTTCCTTCCGTTAAACTTGTCTTTTAAAATGTTTGCGTTTTAGAGAATCACCTTGCATTCCTTTGAATTTACTATAGATTAAAAAAAAAAAATGGTGAAGTATTCGTTCCAGAAGAGACTTGTCAATGGTACAAATAGTAACAAACCTAATTATACATGAGCATTTAGGATAAGGTAAAGGTGACATTTTATATTTGAGAGAAAAGGGAGATGGAATAACTGAACAATCATTTGGAAAAAAGTAAAATTAATGAATAGCAAATATCAGATTGAACTCCAGAAGACTTAAATGTGTAAAATGTGTAAAGTAGCCTTAAAAGTACTAGCACAGGGGCGCGTGTGTGGCTCAGTCGGTTAAACGTCCGACTTCGGCTCAGGTCATGATCTCGCGGTTCGTGAGTTCAAGCCCTACGTCGGGCTCTGTGCTGACTGCTCAGAGCCTGGAGCCTGGTTCTGATTCTGTGTCTCCCTCTCTCTCTGACCCTCCCCCATTCATGCTCTGTCTCTCTCTGTCTCAAAAATAAATAAACGTTTAAAAAAAAAAAAAGTACTAGCACATAATATAGTTAAATATTTGCATATACTTGGAGAAGGAAAACTTTTAAAGCAGGACAATTAAGCCACAAATCATAAAGTAAAAAACAGATAGGTCTTATTATATTTGTTTTTAAAGATCTGTTCTACAAAGCTAAAAGCAAAAAACTCTAAACAAACTCTAATGAAAAATATCTGAGACACGTAAGACAAACAAACAAATAAACAAACCCTTGGCAATTCCTATGAAAATAATGAGAATCTAGGAGGAAAAAAAAAAAGGTTTTGGGTTACCATGGATAAAAGTAAAAATAAAAATGACAATAAGTGTAGTTGATAGTTCATTTTCACTAGCAATAAAAAAAAAATGAAACTAACACTAAGGTAAAAATATGTATTTATTAGTTTGGTGGACATGTAAAAGATAGATAATGGTATACAGGGATTGAAAAAGATATGGGGAAATGTCACTCTCTTAACCTTTTGCCTGGAGTGTAAAAGCACTGTTGCTTTTCTGAAGGGAAGTGTTTAGTTACCTGTTGATCCAATAGTTCCACTGTTAGGAATTTATTCTAAAAAACGAATTCCATAACTGTATTTGTTATAATGAAAAATTGAAAATAATTTGTCTACTGATTAGGAGTTGGTAAATTACGTTATAACCTTGAAAATGATAATGTAATTGATGAAAGTAGTAATAGCTAACACATATAACTAACACTTTATTATGCATCAGATACTAGTCTAAGCACTTCATATATTTGTTGACAAGGAAAGAAATATACATTCTTAAGTAAAAACTTAAATTCTTTTTTGTTTAAAAAACAAATGCATAAAATAAATATGCATATATAGAGAGACATTCAATCACATGTATGTTTGTGAGTGGTGTACCTGTACATATGTGGGGTAGGAGAAGAAAACACCTCTTAGTGATCATGCACCAAGTAGAGATCATCTCTTGATTGTGGAATTACAGATATTATTTGTTTTCTTTCTTTATACTATATGTGTTTTCTGCATGTTTACCAATTAGTATGCTTTAATGATATATTCAACGAATGCTTTTTTTAATAAAAATATCACGGTGCCCTGAAGTTACAGAATGCGTTTGGATTATTTGATTTCGCCCTTAAAACTGTGTTAGATACACAACTTTTATATTAAAAATGATATATTTCATTTTTGTTAGAATGAAAGAAAACTTGAAAAAGACAAAAAGAGACACAGTATGGAGAAAGACAGTGATGGCTGCCTCCCGAAACATAAAACGGAGAATGAGCAAATAGAGACACAGAGCCAGATCAGTGACAATAGCCAAAAAAACAATGAGCTTGGAATAGTTGAAAATTATAAAGAGGCATTAACACAGCAGTTGGAGAATGAAGATGATACAGACCAGCGATCATCAGAATCAGGTGACAAATCTAGGTGATAAATATATTAAAAAAAATATGTATATATATATATATATATATATATGTATACACACACACACACATACACAGAATTTAATGATACATCTATCATTTGTCATGATTATTTTCACAAAAAATGTACTATAATATTTTTTGTCTCCAAATGCATTATTTATCATGGTTTTCTCATGGTTTTTAGTTTCTCCTTAATTTGCTAACTTATGTTTTTATTCATGACACCTTAAAATGTGATCCTTTGCAATTGAAATGAATTTCAGCAGAAAATTCTGTTTTCAATTTTGTTTCATAAATTTGGAATATAGCACATAGTCCCAGGAATCCTTGAAATATATTTAACCTTTAAGGCTCTTTTAGGGAGTTTTATTTGGGTTTTATTTTAAGCTTCATAATACTGCAATCAGTGTCACTTCTTTTATTGACTTGTTTTTTCCATAGAATGCAGACCTACTCAGTTGAACAAAGTTTTTATTTTATTTACTTTGATAGAGAGAAAGCATGAGTGGGTGAAGGGGGGAGGGATAGAGAGAGAGGAAGAGAGAGAGAATTCCAAACAGGCTCTGTGCGGTCAGCGCAGAGTCCGATGCAGGGCTAGAAGGCAAAACCGTGAGACCATGACCTGAGCCGAAATCAAGAATTGGACATTTAACTGACTAAGCCACCCAGATGCCCCATGAACGTATTTAAAGCCAGTAGCCATTTTCCTATTATTTTAATATCATACAAAATCTTCAGTTCATAATTGCTTTGTTTTCTCTAAGTGGTTTTGTGATTTAACGGGAAGTTCATGTCTTTGGTTTCGTAGACAGCCTGTGTTTGGAATCAGACATCTTGGGATAGAATCGAGATATTTGTTGTGTTACAGTGTATTGTTCTTCAGTCTTGGTTTCCTCATCTCTAAGGTGGGGATAAGCATCATATTTTTCCCACAGGGCTTTTAGTACTTATAACAAAAATAACCCTACAGTTCTAGCACAGGGCCTGACATATGAACCAATAATCATACATCCTTGAAATTTCTGGCTAACAGTATGGTTCCATTGTATATAAGAATTTTTGTACATACGTGGGGTGCCTCGGTGGCTCAATGGGTTAGGTGTCCGACTGTAATTTCAGCTCAGGTATGATCTCATGGTTCGAACAGCATGGAGCCTGCTTGGGATTCTCCCTCTCCTTCCCTCCCTCTAAATAAATAAATAAGGAAATAAATCTTAAAAAAGAATTTTTGTATGGTATCAGAAACATTATAAAAATAAGATCTCAATCCCTGAGGTTCAGATTTAAAAAATTAGACTTGAAAGTTATACCTTTTGTAAGTTGGGAAGTTAGGGCAGCCATATTCATACCCTTGTAGCTCTGTTAACAGAGTTAAACAGAAAGTAGATTTAAAGTGGCCTCCCAATATGTTGAGAGAACTTTGAACAGTTACACATTGTTAAAGAGAAAAATATTTGGCAGATTATTTGAAAGTACGGTGTAGGAAGAAGATCTAAGATAGTCAAACATATAACTATAATAGTAATAAGTAACATTTTTGTGCTTTAGAACCTGGCTTCAGATACCTTAGATTATTTAATGCAGGATTATATTATTTAATGTAAATAATTTTAGGGTATATTATTCCCATTATTTTGAATAGGAAATCAGGGGCTTGGAGAGGTTGAGGAGCTTGTTAAGATCATATGTCTTGTCTGTAGCTGGGACAGATCATCTGCCCATTATCCTGTGCTGTTTCATGACCCTGAGTCACTGCCCATCCTGAAATACCATATGGTTCTGGACTTTCTCTTCCCTTTTTCTCATCTGTAAAGCTTATGATTTAACTGTAAAACGATGTCTTTGTTTCTCTGTGGAGTAAGATGTCTCAAATGACACTACTTTATTTAGAAAAAGTATGTGTTTCTAAAAATGTTTATATTTCTCATTGCCTTGTAGATTTCATAATGTTGGCTATTTCTCACATAATAGATAATTCCCATTTTATAAAATGTGTTACATATATATAAATTAAGCAGTTTGAGATTGTCACTTAAAATACTTTAGTAACTTTGATGTTTGGTTATTTAACTACATGGCCATATGGTTTACACTGTTAAAATTTACATGTTAATGGCATAGATGGCCTTAAATTGTTTATATGTGCTTAAGTGAGAATCTATAGTTATTTTTTAAAAAGAACACCGATTCTGCAATGTCCAATAATGTGATTTTGGTTACATATATTTATTTATATTGGGCATACCTTGTCTGGGGGTTATTTTAATGGGTAACGTGTTTAAATTTGATTAGGGTATTTTTTTCACATTCAAAGGATTAATTTTGGATTATTTATACCTAGAATCATTCTATATATTCTATTGAGACAAATCAACGTCTCTCCCCTTTCCCTGGGCCATTCTGAGTTTCATGAGAATGCCTGGAATTAGACAATTATATTTACTTGATATGACATTTGGAAAAAATACAAGTTACTTTTGGAAATGTGAACTTTTTTTTGTATGCTGAATAATCTCTCATAAAACTTAAAATACAGGCTTTTTTCCATTTGTGTCATATTCATTAAGTATTAATTCAATAAGGAATCATTTAAAATTTTATGCTTAGTGAAAGCAGATTCACATTTCATTACTGGTAACAATTTCCAAAGTTTGAAGATCTGTTTTTATGGTAATGATAATATCAGTAGTCTAGTTCCATTCTTTTTTATTGTAGAAGTTTACATTTTCTCAAAGGCATATAGTTCAATGTTTATATTCTTATAGATAACAGCAAAAAGAAAACTAAGAAACTAAGAATAAAAAGGAGTCACCGTGTAGAACCTGTTAATACAGATGACTCTGCTCCTAAGAGTCCAACACCACCCCCGCCTCCTCCTCCTGGTGAGTAAATTGATATTGGTACTGAATTTAGATTTACTGCTTTAAACAGTAAAGAAAAATAAAGAAATTTTGTAGTTTTATTCAGTATATTTATTTTTGTGTGAAAACTCTTTTCTCTCTTTTGTTCAAAATGTATCATTGCTTTTTTAATCAGAAAAAAATGTTTCCTAAAAGTAAAAAAAAAAAAAAAAAAAAAGTAAAATTAATAAGGACACTTTACACCAGCACTTTCTAGAATGAATTCAGGTCCTATTTGAAGTATCATTGTCCAGATTTCTGAAAGGAATTTAAGTTTAATGAATGGATGGCTAATGTAAGTTTTTAAATAGTTGAATCTTTCATCCTGAAAGTTAACATTTAAAACCAAGATGTGTGAATTTTTCCAATATATTTCCGACTTACATACTGACCTTCTAAGTTGTTATGAGAATTAAAAGGAATATTGCATGTAAAACACTAAAACATACTAACTGCACAATAATTGTAATTTTTCAGCACTAGGCATAGTACCTCACATACTATAAGTGCGCAATAAATATCTGAATGTATATATTTGTGGTGTCCTTTTAGCCCTGTTAGGAGGCTTTAGGTAGTAATATTTTCCTTTGAGAATTATTTCAAGACTCATTTCTAGTATTTCACTTATTAGAAAAAATTTCTTTTAGCCTTGGCTAGAAGCTAGAATAGTAGCCTAAGGTAATTTTTGATGGTGGTGAAGATGCTTACATTTTTAACTAAAGTAAAAACTTAAAAGAGATGTTACCAGCCTATAATTACATTTTTCAATAAAGACTATTTCAAATGCCTTTGCGGTTATTCAGTACTGTGTCATTCAACATACATATATGACCTGGCATCAAATATATACATTCCTGTCAAGGGAGGGAACCTCTCAACAGGCCTAAAGAGACATTGTTTAACAGTGTTTTAAAATGTTTTTCTTTTTCTTTAGTTGGCTGGGGAACCCCCAAAGTCACTAGACTTCCAAAACTTGAGCCTCTTGGTGAAACACGTCATAATGGTAATGCAAAAGGATCAGTTTTAAAATATACATATTAAATCCACTTTTCTTTACCTTGACAAACTTTTATTTTTGGAAGCCTTTCAAATCCACAACCATCCTTTTTCATTATACTTTACTCTTTTTATTTTATTTAATTTTTTTATTCTTTAGTGACTTTTGGCTCTATATAATTTGTTTACTCTGGAATACAGAGGTAAAAATAACCATAGTTTATGTTTATCCATTACATAATTATGTAAATTGTTATGGAATGGGGACAGTTTTAAAGCAATTTAAGTTAAATATGAGAAATTACAATTATCCTTAGTATTAAAAACAGCATTGTCCTGTATATGCTCAGTGTACTCAGTGATAATGCTTCATAATTGTTTTTTGTCTGCTTCTAATAAGTTGACTCAGCTGCTGAATATCGGAATGAAGTAAAAATCAACACAGTTTGTAAAATCAGAGACTAAATCAGTAAACCAAATGAAGTTCAGCTAAATAGAAAGTTACGAAAGACTTATTGACTCTAGAAAACAGTTTTCTTTGGATGAAATTAACATAAGGTGTAGTCCAGCCAATATATGGCATTAGAAATCCACATTTGGAAAGAGAAAGGGAAGCTGGGTATAGAGAACTGCTTTGTACAACAGGCAGAAGTTCTGATTTCAGACCATCAGGTCAGGCTGTTGCAATAAAATGTTTCTAGAATGCGAAAGTGTAATTATATATAGCGTAGCTCATTAAAGTTCTCCATCAAGAATATCCAGTTCCCGGGCACCTGGGTGGCTCAGTCGGTTGAGCATCCGACTTCCGCTCAGGTCAGGATCTCGAGGTTGACAAGTTCGAGCCCCGCGTCGGGCTCTGTGCTGATGGCTCAGAGCCTGGAGCCTGCCTCGGATTCTGCGTCTCCCTCTCTCTCTGCCCCTCTCCCACTCATGCTCTGTCTCTCTCTGTCTCAAAAATAAACATTAAAAATAAATAAATAAATAAAATACCCAGTTCCCTTTTTGATAACTCTGTTTACCTAATCTAGAACTTGGTTTACTATGGAGATCCATTTGCCAGCGGAAAAAAAAAATCAGAAGTTTAGAAAACCATTATCATGTAACTTGAAATTATATCAAACTGCATAAAATACTTTTATTCAAAGAGTTTTGAAACTGGAATTATGGCTTTGGGTCAGATTGTGAAGTCCCTTACACGTATGTTAAGATGTCTGGACTTGCTATAATTTTCCAAGAGACACTATACATTTTTGAACAGGGAAGTAGTGTTACTAGGTGTATTGTTTAGGAAAATAATTTTTTGTCACAATGGAAAGTACAGACTTGATGGTGGCCACACTTGAGGTCAAGATCCCATCTAGGAGGCTGTTGTAACAGTTACAGTGAGAAGTGAGGTATAGAAATTGGAATGAAGAGTAAAAAATGTACGCAGAAAAAAATCTTTTTTTTTTTTTTTTTTTAATGATTATTTATTTGAGAGAGAGAAACAGAGAGACAGAGACAGAATCTGAAGCAAGCTCCAAGCTGTGAGCTGTCAGCACAGAGCCCAACACGGGGCTCAAATCCACAAGCAGTGAGATCATGACCTAAGCCGAATTCTGATGCCTGACTGACTGAGCAACCAGGCACCCTGGAAATATCTTAATTATAGTAATTAATATTTCATGAGTGGATGTATGGGCCGAGGGACAGAGGAATAGAGGATTATTTATTCAAGGGGCTGGAAGGTTGGTGCTGTCTCTAAGACTGAAAATACCTGAGGAAGGAGATATGGTTTGGAGGTGTCTGTAGGCTTATTTATTTGTAAATGTCTTTTGGCCAATCAGTACCAGAATGATTCAAGAACTCAGGAGAAAAGAACGGACCCTGGTGGGTGGAGGGTTTGCAGATGGATTTTTTTTTTTCAGTTGTTATCGCACAGTATGAAATCCTTGCCTGTAATTGATGCTTTGTAATCATTTACTGAATGAATGCGGGAAGCAATGATAGATAGTTTCTTGTTTCTGAGAGAAATTTTATAGAATGAGGAGAAAAGAAGTAATGGTAGCATGCAGGGGGAACCTAGTTAAGGGCAAGTGGAAAAAGGTCAAAAATGGGTTGAGAAGGTTATTTTGTTTTGTTCATCCTCACTTTCCTGTGTTTGTTTTAAAATTAGAACTCATGGGAAAGAATTGTAATAAATCAGCTAAGTTTAAGACCACCATATTCCAATAGTTTAGTTAATTTTCAGTATGTATCAATAAATGTAGCTTCCCAGAGCAGAGAAGAAAACACTGTAACTTCACAAGTTTTAAAATATTTTTATTGTTTTTTTCCCATAAGTTAGACATTTTTTTTAATCTTTATTTATTTTTGACAGAGAGAGCGAGTGAGCGCACATGCATAAGCGGGGGAGGGGCAGAGAGAGAGAGAAAGGGAGACTCAGAATCTGAAGCAGGCTCCAGGCTCTGAGCTGTCAGCACAGAGCCCGACACAGGGCTTTGGCTCTAATCCATGAACTGTGAGATCATGACCTGAGCTGAAGTCAGACACTCAACCAACTGAGCCACCCAGGTGCCCCTTTCCCATAAATTTTAAATCTAAGTATACATAACCTGGGTTAAAAAAAAAAAAAAAGTACAATCAACTGCTTTCATTCATAGGGAAGAAAACAGGTATAATTAAAAATTGTAATAAAAATAATTTTTTAAGGTTTATCATAAGATCTTCATCTGAGATGCTGATAGCTGCAAATTTTAAAATTGCATTCTCTTCTCTAGCTTGGTACACATTTCTTTGCACTTGGTTAATGGCAAGTAAACAACAGATACATGATGAACTAGAGTAGTAATTAAAAGGTAACTACTATTGGCTTAGCACTTAAAACTTACTCGGTTGGAAAACAATTTTTTATAGTTATATTGGGAATTTTTAAGGCAAATTCTTACTTGTTCTTTGATAATAGACATTTACCTTGATAGCAATTTCATTTTACTTTTCTAATGTCTATAATGCTTGCTCAGCATAATAGTTAAGACATGCATTGAGAAAAGAAACTTAGAGAATGTGTATTTACTATGTAAACACTCTCAATCCATACTTCATTAACATGTATCATACATTATGGGAAATATATCAAGGATTCTGTTAGCTAAAAATACCAAATGCGGGGCGCCTGGGTGGCGCAGTCGGTTAAGCGTCCGACTTCAGCCAGGTCACGATCTCGCGCTCCGTGAGTTCGAGCCCCGCGTCGGGCTCTGGGCTGATGGCTCAGAGCCTGGAGCCTGTTTCCAGTTCTGTGTCTCCCTCTCTCTCTGCCCCTCCCCCGTTCATGCTCTGTCTCTCTCTGTCCCAAAAATAAATAAATGTTAAAAAAATAAATAAATAAATAAAAATAAAAATACCAAATGCACTAAAGAATATTTCATATCTTAAAATGTGAATGAAGATAAAATTTTGTATGTAGTTTTACTACTCTTCAATTTCATGTTTAAAAAGTTTGAAGCTCTTTATAAAAATGTGTGTTAGCAATTAAGTTGGTCCTATCAGTTGAGCACTAACATCAACATATAGTCCCTACATTTAAGGCAATAAGAAACCTACTTTGTATGAATGATTTTATTTCCTGGCAAAGAAATAATACAAAATAAATTGTAAAAATAAAATAATTTCTTGGGAGGGAAAAAGATATTTCTTGCCATGTGTATGTGATTTTTCTTTGTAGGAGGGTACTTTTTTTTTTAATGTTTATTTTTTGAGAGAGCATGAGTGGGGGAGGGATAGAGAGGGGGGACATAGGAGCTGAAGTGAACTCTGCACTGACAGGCTGACAGCAGCCAGCCCAATATGGAGCTCGAATTCATGAATTGTAAGATCATGACCGGAGCCGAAGTCGGATGTTCAACAGACTGAGCCACCCAGGAACCCCTGGAGTTTTGGTTGTTTAATAAACTTAAATATACCATATTAGAAACTATATTCACTCTGGTTTAATTGTGAGTTCTGTTAACGTATTAAAATTCTCATTAATTTTGAAAATAAGAAATAAGAAAAGTCATACTTGAAATTTATCAAAAATAATTGTTTTAATTTAAATAATAACAATGATATAGCAATAATATTAATGGTATGCTCTGTGTTCCTGGCATGTTGCTAAGCACTTCAGGTACCATTGTCTCATTTTCATTCTCCTAAAAGCCTTGTAAGATGGGCAGTGATATTCCCATTTTTTGCACAGGGAACCTATACCCCAATGTCACATAGCTACCAAGTAACAATATTAGGATTTGAACTTAGGTGTGTCCAGCTTTCAAATCCATACCTTTCTTAATTCATTATGTTATACTATTACATTAAGATTTATTAGGGTATCCTTGTAGCTTACTAGTTGTTTTCAATTTGTAGTTGCTTGAAAAGCCATTTCCTGCTGACACATTTTTATATTTAAAATGGTTTTCTTGTAGATAGCCCATAGTTGGATTGTACTTTTTGATCCTCTCTGACTCTCTGCCTTTTAATTGTTGAATTTGGACCATCCAGCATTCAAAGTGATTATTGGTATAGTTGGATTAATATCTACCATATCCATTACTGTTTTCTATGTGTTGCCCTCATTCTTTGTTCCTATTTTTGTCTTTCACTCTTTTTTAGCCTTTTGTGATTTTATTCATTTATTTAGTTATTTGAAATGTTCATTTATTTTGAGAGAGAGAGTCCATGTGCACAAGTGGGGACAGGCAGAGAGAAAGGGAGAATCCCAAGCAGGCGCTGCGTTGATAGCTCTGACACAGGGCTCAGTCTCATTAACCATGAGATCATGATCTGAGCCAAAATCAAGAGTAGGATGCTTAACCGACTGAGCTGCCCAGGCGTCCCTGCATATTTTGGTTTTAATTGAGCATTTTATATGATTCCATTTTCTCTCCTTTCTTAGCACATCAGGTATACTAATTTTTTTTTTCTTACCGTTTTTACTGGCTTCTCTAGAGTTTGCATTTACATTTACAACCAATCCAAGTCCACTTTCAAAGAATACTATATGATTTAATGGGTACTTGAAGTACCTACAGTAATCAAATAATCTTAATTCCTTTCTCCTGTTCTTTGTGCCTTGATGTCATTCATTTGACTTATATATATAAGCATGCATAAGTGTATATATGTATGTATACATACATTCATAAGATAAATATGTTTATATACATAAATACATTGAACAAACTTTTATGGATCATTTAAGAATAAGAGAAATGTGTTTTCATTTTACTTTTACTTATTTCTTCAATGCTTTTTCTTTATGTAGATCTGAGTTTCTGACCTATGTTATTTTCCTTCTTTCTAAGGAACTAATTTTTGCATTTCTTGCAAGGCAAGTCTACTCGCAATAAATTCCCTCAATTTTTGTTTGAGAAAGTCTTTATTTTTCCTTTACTTTTTAAGGGCAGTTTTGCAGGGTACAGTATTCTAGGTGGGTGTGTTTTTTTCCTCTAAATATTAAAAAAATTTTTTTTTTCAACGTTTATTTATTTTTGGGACAGAGAGAGACAGAGCATGAACGGGGGAGGGGCAGAGAGAGAGGGAGACACAGAATCGGAAACAGGCTCCAGGCTCCGAGCCATCAGCCCAGAGCCCGACGCGGGGCTCGAACTCCCGGACCGCGAGATCGTGACCTGGCTGAAGTCGGACGCTTAACCGACTGCGCCACCCAGGCGCCCCTCCTCTAAATATTTTAAATATTTCGCTTTACTTTCTTCTTGCTTGCACGGTGTTTTAGGAAAAGTTGGATGTAATTCTTATCTTGGATCCTTTGTTGGAAAGGTGTTTTTTTTTGTTTTTTTTTTTTTTTTCTGGCTTATTTCAGGATTTTTAATTTTCTTTTATTTTCTGTAATTTGAAAATGATGTGCTTATATGTCGTTCATTTGGCATATATCCTGCTCAGTGTTCTCTGGATTCCTGGATCTGTGCTCTGATGTCTGACATTAATTTGGGAAAAGGCTTAGTCATTGTTGCTTCAAATATTGCTTCTGTTCTTTTTTCTTTCTTCTTCTGATATTCCCATTATAAATAAGGTATGCCTTTTGTACTTGTCCCACAGTTCTTGGATGTTCTCTTGTTTTGTTTTGTTTTTCCAGTCTTTTTTCTCTTTGCTTTTCAGTTTTTGAGGATTTTATTGATTTATCCTCAAGCTCAGAGGTTCTTGCCTCAGTTGCATCCAGTCTACTGATAAGCCTATCACAGACATCCTTCACTTCTGTAACAGTGGGGGGTTTTTTTGGTTCTTTTTTAGGATTTCTATCTGTCTGCTTACATTGCCATCTGTTCCCGCATGCTACTTATCCATGAAAGCCCTTAGTCTATTAATCATAGTTGTTTTAAATTCCTGGCCTGATAATTCCAACATTTCTGCCATGTCTTTTGCTGATGTTTGATCTAGCTCTTCAAATTCTGGCTGTTTTGCCTTTTTGAATGCCTCGTATTATTTTATTATTATTATTATTATTATTATTATTATTATTATTTTGATAGCCTGACATGATGTCCCAGGTGAAAAGAACTGTTACAAATTGGCATTTAGTAATATGGTGGTGATGTGTGGTGGAAGGAGAAGTGTTCTATATGTCTATGATTAGATCTTAGTCTTTTAGTGAGCCTGTGCCTCTGGACTATGAACTTCACAAAAGTTTCTCAGTTTTTTTTTTTTTTTTTTCTGCTGAAAAGGAATGCACAGAATGGATACAGCCAGCTGGAATTGGTGATTTCCTTCCTGAGATCAGTTAGGGTTTGATAATACCCCACTAGGTTAGGTTCTGGTTAACTAGTTTCTCCTGACAGCAGGTCTTGTGCCCCAGAACAGAGTGCCATGGGGTATTTCTACATGGTTTCTTTTCCCCTCTCTTGCCAGAAGCAGGAGGGGACTTTTCTCCCGTATTTATTGTGGGAATTTGTTCAAGTTCCTAGAGATAAATCTCACAGTATTGTGGGGATCCTCTTATGACTTAGTCCCCCTGGAGTCTTTTATTCTCAGACTTCTGTGTACTAAGCCTCCAGCAATTCATCACTACAGTTCGGGTTTTCTTTTTTTTTTTTTTTTTTTTTTAATTTTTTTTTTTTTTTTTAACATTTATTTATTTTTGATACAGTTCGGGTTTTCTTACCAGGCACTGGTTTCCTCCACAGATTCTATTCATGAATGTCTGCTCTGGTAAACTGAGACTCCCTATATTTGCCAGTTTGTCTTTGGTATTGGGGCAGTGGTTTGTCTTATGACTTACCCCCCCTTAAGGATCTGAGACAAATTGTTGTTGTGTTTTTTTTTTTTAGTCTGTTCAGCTTTTTTTACTTCTTGTAGCATGCAGTGGTGACTTCCAATCTCCTTAAATGCTGTTATGACTTTGTTAAATTGACATTTGTTAAGTAGGGCCCCTGGGTGCTAGATGGTAAACCTTGGTTCAAAAAGACCACAAGAGAAATCAAAGTGGGAGAAATTTATTATTCACAGGTTCTGGAGGAAGTATATGGCATACCTTGAGGGTTCCACAGGGGGAGATCAAGGCAGGGTACAAGCAGAGAGACCTGTAGGAACTGGGGCACATGCTAAGGCCAGTTTCGTGAATTCAAAACAAAAGAGTGTAGAAGCTCCACTATAGTCTTACCTCACGGAAGGCCCTGGAAGGTGAGGGAGACTGTTGGTGACAAAGGGCATTGGGGAAGTCATATCAGGCACTTATATTTACTTGTGACCTTGCAGGCTCTTATCTAGGGCATGTGCTTGTTTGCATGAGGGGCTAGTTAGCCAAACTCTCCACATATGTGAAACTGGAAACAGACCTGTAATACATTTTTAATATATTTATTTCAAGTGATCCTAAAAATCTTTGCTTCTGGAATAATTTTAAGGTAATAGGCTAGGAAAGAATTACTTCCTGAAGGTTTACATATTCTTAAATTTTTAAAAATGTTTTATTTATTTTTGAGAGAGAGGGAAAGAGAGAGACAGAGTGTGAGTGGGGAGGGGCAGAGAGAGAGAGAGGGAGACACAGAATCCAGAACAGGCTCCAGGCTCTGAGCTGTCAGCACAGAGCCCGATTCAGGGCTTGAATTCATGAACCCTGAGATCATGACCTGAGCTGAAGTCAGATGCTCAACCAACTGAGCCACCCAGATGCTCCTGAAGGTTTACATATTCTCTTAAATTTAAGCCAGTTTATAATAATTAAGGGACAGGAACTTGTTAAGAAATATAAAATAAGACTTTCTTTGTATCAGATATGTCTTAAATCACTAATAGTAAATCATCATTGTAAAAGATTACGGCTTACCAGAAAACTAAGATAATTAACTCTTTTCCCAAAATACCTAGAAGTAATAGCCATTGGATGAGAACATGGATTATACACATACTGACTTACCAGGGCCTTGGCAACAGTTTCCATGGATTTTGAATATTTGTTATTTGTTTGTTCTAATGCAAATGAATGTATGATTGGAAATAACAATTATATATATATATACATATATATATATTAGATATAGCTTTTTATTAAATCAAGTGGAGATTAATTTATGATCTAGAGTTAGGAATTTATCCTACTGGTTGTGTTTTGAATCTATTCAAGTTTTCTGGAATTTTGACTTTTTTTTTTTTTCTATTCTCCTCACCTGTTGTTTCTCCTGCCAAGTCAGAGTGCTTTACTCTTTTAAATTGTTGGTTGGTAAATAATGAATTGTATCAAAAATTTTGATTTACCACATTTGTTTTATATTTTTGGTATCCCTTCTTTTCTTAGATTTCTATGGGAAGCCACTGCCTCCCCTGTCTGCGCGACAGAGGCCTAACAGTGATGCTCATGATGTGGTTTCATAACCGAGTCATGTGATGAGCTTTTTAAAGATCTGCAAGATCAACTAGAAGACCTTCCTTCTCAAAGAAGAAAAACCCTAAGCATTGATGACTGGGGCAAGATAACCATAGTGATTTCAGTGAGATAAATAGCCAAAGACCTGGCTGATATGACAATTATCCATGTTATTCGTGGTTTAAAAAAAAGGAAGGAAAATGACCAATAGATGGGATGAGCATTTGAATCAAGTTAGCAGGAGTTACTGTTGACTCTGGTTTTTACAGTCCTGCTCATGGGCATATTCCTGAAGGAAAACCTCTTCAGAAAAAGAGCCAATGGACTCTGCACACTTTTTTTTTTTTTTTTTT